AGTCTTTTCTTGAGTGTTTGTTTGGTTTCTCCGATGTAATGTTCCTTGCACTCACTTTCTTGGCAACGGATGGAATAAATCAGATTGCATTTTTGGGTGTTAGGAACCCGGTCTTTGGGGTGTACTAGTTTTTGTCTCAATGTGTTTATCGGTTTAAAATAAACAGGAATATCATGTTGTAGAAATATTCTTTGTATTTTCTCTGAGAGGCCGGCAATATAAGGTACACAGACACCCCTTCTCTTCTTTTCTCTCTGTTGGTTGGTTTCCTCTCTGTTTGTTTTAATTTTCCTAACTTTTTTAAAGGAAGCGATTTTTGTTAAAAAATTTTCACCCTCTCTGAACCGTGAAGGAGGTATCAGATTTAACCTGTCTCCTATTTACAATAACTTGTTGACCAGTAAGGGACATAGACATGCTGATCAGGCTAACTGAAAGTAGCTATTCAGCCTTAGCCCAAACAATAGGCCTAATCAAGACCCAATGATAGGGAATTTAGAAACCAATGGGCCTCTAATAAACCAATAGGGGCGTGACTAACCATCCCCACCCAGTCCTCAAACAGGCCACGCTCAGCTTTTTAGCGCAGAGCAACTTCCCGGAGTCTTCACGGAGACTTCAGGGTTGTCTACCGCTGACGAAGCTTCTGTGAGAGAAGCGAAACGTCCTTTTTTGCTTTTTTTTTGTTTTTTTTGTTTTTTACCCACAGGTACAGATGACGACTGACAGAACCCTTTCTACGATTTTTAAAAAGTCCAAAATGATTCAAACTCATGTCAGATTTTCAGTTCAAGCTCACATCTAAAATCTCGTTGGATTTGATGATGATTTTATATTTCCTTGTCTTCATTTGTGTTATGTTCTATTGAAGCCAGTGTCACTTGCGTTTTACTTAGTTTTATTCTTATTTTTTTTTAAACAATTTTCCATGTCTTAAATTATTTTGACAAAGAATTACATTGATTACATTTAAGGCCCTTTTGCTAAGTGATAAGATTTTAATAGATGACGAATCCGTGCCACCGCCCTTAGGTCGCACGGGCCGAGCGGGCCATCGAGGGAAAGCCATCACTTTCTTCACAGAGAACGACAAGCCGCTCCTGCGAAGGTATGATTGCAGTGATAAATAATACAGTAGGCTACGTTCAAAACTCTTATAAATGTCATATTCCACCCCTAGCATCGCTAACGTTATCAAACAAGCCGGATGTCCAGTTCCGGACTACATGGTTGGCTTCAAGCGGATACACAGGTACAAACGATACACTTTTAGTGTTTTTCTTTCTTTTGCACATTCACAGTTTATGTAATTTTATACATTCTTTTTTTAAAGCAAAGTCAGGAGGAGACTGGAGAAGAAACCTCCCAGTAGGAGCACCATTTGCACCACGCCACGTTTCCTCATGAAGAAACCGCCCCAAAAAGTCCAGAAAAGCAAGCAAAGCCCAAGAAATGTGGAACAACAGAAGAAAACAGCAAATTCTCTGAAAAAACAAGTCAGGTGAGACAACCGTGTGATTTACAATAATTACGACTCCTCCTCCCAACCACAGTTTTTGCACCAAATGTTTTGTTATATATGCAGAAAAAAGACCAAGACACAACAAGAGTAGAAGATGGACTTTGGAAACGTTCCAATATGCTTTGGTCTTTGTATGTCTAAATAAAGAAAAAAATAAACTTTGTATTACAATCTGGATTTTTCTCGGTTTATTGTTGATCATATTGACTCTGAATTAAGTCTTCGGGAAAATGTACTGTTTCGTTTCTGTAATCAATAGTCAACAAACCAGTGAGTTTAAAATTTCCTACACCACGACGTGTTAGTGGTGACGTCACCGCAGCGCCACAGACCAAATATCGCGATACTTTTAGATCGCCCTTGCATTGTAGCTCCGGAAACCCCACACGGTCTTTCTTTTCCCAACATGGCACCGAAGGTGAAGAAAGCAGGTTCGTCTGTTCCGAATACTTTTCGTGCTCAAATTTCACTAAACGTTCGGCTCTTACTGTATCTCGATTTACAAAGAGAACAGGAAAACTTAGGTCTGCATGATAACCTCAACAAATGCCAACTAAAAACTCGCAATCTTATTAAACAACCCGTGCGAAGTTACCGGCGTGTATACATGCTAGGCTGCGCTAAGCTAATAGCCACATGTAACATGTTTATAATGTTTGTTGATTGTTTTACGTAATTGTCTTACGCTTGTCAAGATTTGTATTGATTGTTTTACGTAATTGTCTTACGCTTGTCAAGATTTGTATCGATTGTGTTATGCTTGTTGGTCGTTCTCAGCCGTAGCAATGGCTGCTCGGCGTGAAGGTTTGACGTGTTAGCTTCGCGCAACGCATGTTAGCTTATCCATCTGATTCACTCGGCACCCGTGAACGGTCGCGTGTCTTTCCGTTCCAAATTTCGTATTCATAGGACATGATTTCATGTCACATGTCAAGCCTATATGTCCTACTTATGGGAGGTTGCGTACAGACGTTCAGGTTGAAGGCACGTATCAGAAGCCCACTTGGTTGGCAACTTGAATCGGACGTGTTTCGAGTGGTGTGCTTCTGGCCTATTACTGTAACGTTCGTTTGAGGTGCGATGACGTCCTGTTATGTGTACGATAAAAAAAACTGTTTAGTAGATGGAGAAGTGTTCCAGAAAAATAGTTGCAGTTGCCGTTAATAATAGTTGAACCTTGCTGAGACAATTGGATGTTGCAAAAAAGTCGAAGCCAAATCTCCCTTTGCCAAGATATTTGTGCAATTCCAAATTTCTCACTTTCCCTGAATTCAATTTCCCTAAAATGTATACATTTGTCATTTGAATAGTTCAGACTGAGGTTGAAACCATTAATTTAGAAACCAATGAAAAAATTGAGCAGATCACAATGTTCCCTTCAAATTAAACTTCCAAAAGTGTTTAAAATTGATTCAGTGGTTCAACTGGAGCAATGGAGTCATTGTAACAAAAAAGTCAATCGAGGATCGTTTTCAATTCCCAAATTTTCAATTTATTTCCCCCCAAAAGTTTTAATTGGCTTATTTTCATGGTTGAAACAAAACTTTAAATCAGTTGAGTAATGTTTCGTAAAAGAATCTTGGAATGGAAATGAATCAAAATGTATTTTCACAAATTAAACTTTAACAATTAAAAAATTCAACAAAATTGTATTCAATCTTAGGGTTAGGTTTAACAAGCTCTTAAATTAATGAGAGGCGAGTAAAAATATTCTGTTTTCTGCAAAATGACGAGTAAACAATGATGTAGCTTTTCACTTTGCCTATATTTCATTGACCAATTTAATGTTAAGTATGTGAAATCACAATGTGATTATTTATTAAGCAGTTAGTTGGAAGCATGACAGTTTATTTTGATTCCCCCCCCCCCCCATAAAGCGGTCCCGGTCAAGACCGAGGCCAAATCGAAGGCCTTGAAGGCAAAGAAGGCGGTTCTCAAAGGTGTCCACAGCCAAAAGAAGAAGAAGATCAGGACTTCTCCGACCTTCCGCCGCCCCAAGACCCTCCGCCTGCGGCGGCAGCCCAAGTACCCCCGCAAGAGCGCCCCCCGCAGGAACAAGTAAGAGCCTCCCCCATGGTGACCAAGTGGTGCAAGTGATGCTTAAAAAGCGATCAAAGTATGACCACACCATGAGTCCAGCTTCTATCCCACTGATGCACCTTCATCAAACGATGAACTTAGTCGTGCCAAACATGGCGGTGAAGAGATTTGCACTAACGAGACGTGTGCGGTGTCGTTCAGGTTGGATCACTACGCCATCATCAAGTTCCCGCTGACCACCGAGTCGGCCATGAAGAAGATCGAGGACAACAACACGCTGGTGTTCATCGTGGACATTAAGGCCAACAAGCACCAGATCAAACACGCCGTCAGGAAACTCTACGACATCGACGTCTCCAAAGTCAACACGCTTATAAGGTGCGCACACTCGCGTGGAGAATTTGGGGCAAAAGCCCCCTGAAAACCCACGAGTTGTACTCACAAGGGTTTCCTTTTCCTTTCAGGCCGGACGGCGAGAAGAAGGCATACGTCCGCCTGGCGCCGGACTACGACGCGTTGGATGTTGCAAACAAGGTGAGTTTGGTTTTCTTTTTTCGGAAAAGAATTCAAATTGCGACAGCTAGTCCTGAGCATATGATGCCAAACGAATCTGTCTGAATGTTGGTGATTGCGTTTCAAAGGAACCACTGATGCCAGGACATCAATTAACTCTTTTGGCATTGCTGTGCAACCATTTTCTTTCCTCTCCTAATTTTTCCTCCCATTTGTGTTTTTACAGATTGGAATCATCTAAAGTGGCAAAAAAGAAAATTTGGGTGCGAATAAATATTTGTATAAACCAAACACGAATGTACTGTTGTCTGTATTCATAACATAAGTTGGCCGAAGCATGACATATTGAGTTTCTTTGTGCAAATACTTTTCACATTCGAAGACTAGCCTTCTCTTTCATTCAACATAGAATCCATCTAGGAACTGCTAAAATTGAGTGATACCATGGTCACCCGCCCCTTTCGGACAAATGTTTTCACACAGCTGCTGTCAACACAAAGCTTGAGTTAGCAATTTTTTATTTCATTCATATGTACACTGTGTATGTTAGGGGGCTTTTTGTCAAAAGCTGCGTGTTACATTCTACAGTGATTTTTATGAGAGGAAGGTGCGCACGGTGCCTTTGACCAGGCCTCTGCAGATGGGACACTTGCGCAGGGACGGCGCGCACTCCCTGCACACCACCAGGTGTCCGCACGGGATGAAGACGATGTTGACCTCCTTGTCCATGCACACTTTGCACGTTCGCTCCTCCTGAAGACGTCTCAGTTGCTCCTCCATGGGAAGACCCGACAGGTCCTGGCTGGGGGATGCCGCTTCGTTGGACTGAGCTGAAAAGACGACATCAACGCAGTGTGACGCGCGTATTTAGAAACGTAGCCTTTCTATCAGCTGTTGATGGCCTTTTTGTACCCATGAGCTCTCGCAAAAGGTGCACGTCATTCTTTTGGATCCAGTTGCGGAAAACTTCTGCGGCCGCATTGCCTTTGGTGAGGACCAGCTCGATGAGACGAGCCGTCTGCTGCTGCGGTGACGTCTGCGCTTGCAGCCCACTGAACTCCTCGGCACCTGCGCGCAAAAAAAACAGCGGCGTATAGTGAAGCAGAATAAAACAAAGTCAGACATGTTAAGTGACACAATCAAAGCTTCAAACAGCTGCCCGGTGGTCGACTGGGTAGTGCGTCCAAGGCGTTTTTAGCCCGAAAAAAAACGACGTCGTATAGTAAGGCATTTTTAGCCGAAAAAAACGGCCATGTATAGTATGCCGTTTTTGGCACGAAAATAACGATATAGGATAGTAAGGCGTTTTTAGCACGAAAAAAACGACCATGTATAGTCAGGCGTTTTTAGCGGAAAAAACGGCCATGTATACTGTGCCGTTTTTGGCACGAAAATAACGACATAGTATATACAGTAAGGCATTTTTAGCA